AATCTCTTTGTGTTCACTCAAGAATCTCTTTAGCCTAAACACATTAGGATTCGGCCAAAAATCTGGATCGTCTCGATGAATCTTAGAGACATTCACCAATATGCGTGTACCCTTTTGAATGTTGTAGCCATTGACCATGCAATCGTCTATAGATTTATGGGGCAGTAAGAGAGGACTAGAAGGATATAAACACGAAGTTTCTTTCACATGCAACTGCTTGAAGATAAGTCAAATTGTTTAGGTCAGATGGGTTCACATGCCTTTCCCTCCCAACATCATTGATGTCTAGCTCAGCTCGGATATTCTCTAGCACTCCATAATTGTTCAATATTCACAAGAGTACTGCCCATGTTAATGTTATTGTAGTTGTATCTGTAGTAGCTAATAACACAGCCTGGAAAAAAAATTGTACACTAACACAAATGAAGACAAAATTAAATTTAGATAATTATAGAGTACTTGATTTGGGTCCAAAGTTTTGTGTGTTTCTAAGAATCATCTAAACTTTATATAATGGATATATAGACTAAAATAGTCACATACCATGGAAGTAGCTTTCACATTGTCTCAGCATCAAAATCTTTAGGAATATCTTTCTCATCCTGAAATCTGGACAGCAATCCATCCATGAAGTCTTCTTCTAGTTTAGATTTCGTATTTCTTTTCCTTTTATGCTCTTGAAGCCAACATTCCAGTACACTATCCATCTTTTTAGCTGTTTCCTTCATGGCCTTCTCATGTCCTCCTATGTCCAACCATCTTAGCCATGGCAGGTAATCACCCACAACAGACACCCCCAACAGTTCAACGAAACTCCTCACTGTCACTGCTGTCTTGCTCCCTTCTTCCTCGTAGCGCTCCCCGAAAAGCATCTGCATCGTGACGCCCATGATTAGTTTCCCAAACTACTCCTTCATCTCCAGCTTGTCCCTCAGCCAGCTCCGGTGGATGTCTTGGGTAAACGATCTTACTCCCGATTCCCAAACCCCTCTAGACGGCGGTTTGACCGCAGCTCGAGAATGACAACCTTGCGGACATGGCGCCAGTACTGACGGTACGGGACCAGCCCAAACATGGCGTAGTTGTATCCCATGATCTCCGTAGCTAAGGCCTTGGGCCGGCCAGCCAGCGCTCTGTCATTGGTGGTAAAGCATTTGTTCACGATTCGTGAGTCGCTGACCACCATGACTTGATGTGCTCCGATCCGAGCCTTATTCAGAATATAGGCCCGTATTTGTCTGCCATGTCGCCCAAGATTTTGAAGGGCGGCCCAGGCAAGCAAGGAGGTGGAGATGGCCTATTATAGGCCATGCGCCACCGGCTTCAGGTGGTTTTCGGGTTGATCCTTTGTGAAATAACAGGTTGTAGAGAAAGGTGAGAAACACAAAAGTTAATATATAATAACTCCAAAAATATAAATTGCACTAAAAAGACCTGTGTAAAGAACTTGTTTCACTTTACTTTTGATCTACACATCATTTGGCATCTGGCACATCTAATCATACAATATCACATGAATTTTTGTTTTAGATATTACACTTATTAATCTATTGCAGAAATTAGTATTATCAAAATTAAAGCTTAGTAGTTAATTAATCTACTAGCATGGATATTGTGTTTATTTTATCATATAGAAATGAACTGAATTGAATTGATGTCCACAACAATATAATATTCATATAGCGAAAGCACAATATTCATCACACACCAACACGTACGGCAATACATTAATGCTCGCACTTTTGGTATATCACTAGTTTATTGCAGCTTAATTATAGAGATGTGAAGGCAAGCTTGGACTAAGGAAAACATGGAGTGGAGTTGCCTTCATATTCACTATTCCACCACTCTCTGTCATGTCAATAAGCTCATCCGAAATCCTTTTTAAATCAAAGCCATGAATAAGGCTAGCCAAGGTCAATTCCACAACTTGTAATGCTAAAGAAATTCCCGGACATATTCTCCTTCCGCTGCCGAATGGAATAAGTTCATAATGATTGCCCCTTACATCAATCTCCTTGTGTTCACTCATCAAGAATCTCTCTGGCCTAAATGTATTGGGATCTGGCCAAATTTCTGGATCTCGATGAATCTTAGAAACATTCACCAATATTCGTGTACCCTTTCGGATGTTATAACCATTCACCACACAATCGTCTGTAGATTCATGTGGTAATAAGAGAGGAGCAGCAGGATATAAACGTAAAGTTTCTTTCACTACTGCTCGAAGATAAAGCAAATTGTTTAGATCGAATTGGTTCACGTGTCTTTCCTTTCCGACATAAGTGTCTAGCTCTACTCGAATATTCTTCAACACACTATAATTGTTCAATACTAAAGATACTGCCCAAGTTAACGTTGTTATAATTGTATCTGTGGCCGCTGATAGCACCCCCTACCATAAAGATTACATAATAAAATAAATAACAACACATAATTTAGATAATTATTTCGTGTAAATAATGTGTTCTATTGAGTTTCCAATAATTATCGTGTCACTATGTATGTATACACATATAATAAAAGCTAATCAGGCCGTTCTAATAAAAATGAAGGTCTATTGTGTGACATCGTTAATTAATTTGGACCCATTTTCACCTATTTCATATATATAAATAATAGTTGTTCAATTGTATAAATATGTTGCACACTCCAAATGATCGAATCCCTTACTTTGCCACAAATATTTGCAATATCACCATAATCGGTGGTCTAGGCGACTGACTAGGCCGCCTAGGGCTCTAATGTGCCGACAAAATCGCCTAGTTGGTCAATTATCTATTATTCCTTTCTTTTTTAAATGGGTTATTACACTAAAAACGACATCGTTTTGAGCGAAATAACCGTAAATTGTTCAAACTCTACATGTTTTATAAGTTAATATTTAATATTTTAGTATTAACTATTAAAGTATTAAATAGTTTATAATTATCAAGTCTTAAAAAATTTTAAAAATTTAAACAAATTTTTAAAAAATAAAATAAAAAATACACAGACGCCTAGGAATCGATTAATCGCCGTCTAGGCGCCCTAGGCACTAGGCTCCCCCGAGCACTCGAAAAGTGCCTATCAATTTTTTCAACCATGTATATAAGTATACAATTTTTTATTTTTTATTTTTTTACAATTCTGCTCCCAAATTTAAGACCCAATTGAAAAAAAAAAATTACAATGATGAAAAATATAACGGAAGTTATAACGATAGGTGTACTTTTGGCCAAAAAAAATTATATAGTACAACTCTAAAAGCATAATATACAAAATGATTAGCATTAAAAATATGGACATAAATGAGAGATATAACTTTGATTGAGACTTATTATGTTTTTAGATTGAATTTGGTTCACATATCAAAATGAAATGAAATGATGTAACAACAAAAGATCAGAGCCACATACCATGCAAGTAGCTTTCACAACTGTGTCGGCGTCAAAATGGTCAGGACTATCTTTGTCATCTCCATCACCATGAAAACTGGAAAGCAATCCGTCCATGAAGTCTTCTTCCTCTTTAGATTTCGTATTTCTTTTCCTTTTATGTTCTTGTAGCCAACCTTCCATTAAACTGTCCATTTCTTTGGCTGTCTCCTTCATGGCCTTCTCATGTCCTCCTATGTCCAACCATCTTAGCCATGGCAGATAATCACCCACAACAGGCTCCCCCAACAGATCAATGAATCTCCTCACTGTCGTCACTACTGTCCGGTTCCCTTCTTCCTCGTACCGCTGCCCGAAAAGCATCTGCATCATGACACCCATGATTAGTTTCCCAAACCACTCCTTCATCTCCAGCTTCACATCCTCGGATTCATTGTTCTTGTCCCTCAGCCAACATCGGTGGATGTCTTGGGTAAATGATCTTACTCCCGACTCCCAAACCCGCCTGAGCCCGTCGAGACGGCGGTTGACCAGCAGCTCGAGCATGACAACCTTGCGGACATGGCGCCAATACTGACCGTACGGACTCAGCCCAAACATGGAGTTGTTGTATCCCATGATCTCCGAAGCTATGGCCTTGGGCCAGCCAGCGAGCAGTCTATCGCTTTTGGTAAAGCATTCTTTGGCGATTTGGGAGTCGCTAACCACCAAGACTTGATGTGCCCCGAGCCTTAATTGGAATATAGGCCCGTATTTGTCTGCCATGTCGGTCAAGACTTTGAAGGGGGAACGATGGCCAGTGAGGAGGTGGAGATGGCCGATTATAGGCCATGCGCCGCTGGCTTCCGGTGGTTTTTGGTTTGATCCCTGGTGAAATAACAGGTTGTAGAGAAAGGTGAATGATAGCAAAGTGGCAACCAAAGCTGCTACAATAGCTGGCACAGTGAAATCCATGGTTTAATTTGAATCCAAGTTTGAACCTTATAGATCTTTATAGATTGCTTCAAATCTACAAATCTAATAAGAGCTAATTATGTTAGGCTCATAACTGAAACAAAAAAATGTTGGTAGTACTTATTTCTTAAAATGAATCGTTCATATCATTTTTATTTTAGTATTTTTTTAATGATTTTTTTTATTTATCTTCTATTATATTATTTTCTTCTCTTAAATAACCTTAAATTTTGTTAATATAAACTTTAGTAACATAATATTCCGTTAAATATTTATTATTCTTAACATACTCATTAATTTATATAAGAAATGTCTTAGGTTCGGACCTCATCCCAATTAGAGTTGGCATAATTGTTAAACATATATTATGAATATGTTAAAATGTATTAAAAAATAGATAATATAAAATTTAACATAAATTTTGATCAAACAATTAGCTGTTAAGCCAATATGTGGCTAGTATTCTTTAGTTGTTATTTATCTTATTTGTACTCCTATAGACTAGTTGTGTTTGGTTGTAACTTGTTGCTATCTTCACTCTTCTATGTACTATATATAGGGTGTGCTTTACATAAATAAATATAACCATTCATAATCTTTACATGGTATCCAGAGCCTAAAATCTCCTACGAAAGAATTTTTTTTTTTTCCTTGCTTCCTGCCTATTCAATGGCGTCCACCACCCAAACTACTCCGGCCACCACTGAAGTCATCCAGCTTCACGCTACTACACACTTCCCTATCAAACTCACACCTACGAATTTCCCAATCTGGAGGCGCCAGGTTCACTCTACACTCATTGGCCTCAACCTCCATGGCTATGTTGATGGTTCTGTCCAAGAACCGCCTAAGTTTTCTGGTTCGGCTCCAACAGCCACAAACCCAGATTATTTACATTGGGCCCGTCAAGACCAAGTCATCGTCAGTCCACTCTTAGAGAGTTGTTCTGACTCGATTCGACCTCTCGTGTCTTCGGCTTCGACAACCTATGATGCTTGGCAATGCCTAGCCACTACTTACGCTAGTGCGTCTCAAAGCCGAGCTCGTATACTTTCCCTCAAAATCGAGCTCACTCAAAATCCGAGAGGTACTCGGTCGATTTCTGTATTTTTGAATGACATGCGATCCATCGCTGATGCACTCGCGTTGGCGCAGTCCCTGGTCTCTGATGAAGACCTTGTCATGTACATTCTAACGCAGCTCGGGGATGAATATCATTCAATCTTCTCCGCTGTTTGCGTCCGACAGAAGCCTATTTCCTTAGCGGAACTAGCCGATGTTCTCATTGATCATGAACGTCAGTTACAAGCCGATGACCGAGCACGCCAAACCGTGCTGGCTACTGCCAATATCACTCCTACTACTGCTCCTTTGCGGTCATTCTCCGAGTACAATGGTCCAGACCAAATACGCTTGGGTGACGGTAACTCTTTACACATGTCTCACATTGGTCATGCTGCAATTCCCACCCCTTCTTCTGCCCTTAGTCTAGAAAATGTCTTGCATGCTCCACAGCTGCACAAAAGTTTAATTTCTGTTTCACAACCTTGTAAAGCTAATCGTGTGTCTATTGAGCTCTTTGCGTCTCAGTTTGTCGTGAACGATCTTCAAACCGGGATGGCATTGTTACGGGGGCCGAACATTAATGGTGTGTACCACAATACTCTCTCTTATGAGCCTCAAATGAATGCCACGCACCTGCCATCTGTGTCTGAATGGCACCACCGGTTGGGGCATCCGTCAAATATGGTGTTACAACTCGTGTTGCAACACTGCACAATTCCAGTTTCTACTGCTGTCACACCATCGTCCCCTGTGTCCACCCAGCCTGGAGTTGTTCCGATCCCCACTCTGACTCCTACTCTACCTTCTGTGTCTTCCCCGGCTAGGTCTCTCTCTAGCGTAGCCGACTACCCGCAACCTGCACCAGTAGATGTTCAAACTCATGTTTCAACACAATCCGGCGATAATGGTTTGGACATCCCCACTGGTTTACCTTCAGCTGCGTCTAGTTTGTCACCCCCTGGTTGTTCGTCTTCCGCTGTTCCAGAACATAGTCGTCACACCAACCAGTCTGGATCCTTGCCTGTCACCACCTCCGGAGGTTCCCAAACGCAAAATGATTTACGCCGGACTACCCGAGAGCATCGTCCCAATCCCAGGCCGCTTACGGATCATCACTGGCAAGCTGCAAAATGGCTTCTTCGCTATCTCAAAGGTACGGTTTGCCATGGCCTATTTCTACGGGCGGGTCAGCCGTTGTCTCTACGAGTGTTCACTGACTCTGATTGGGGAGGTTGCACCACCGATAGCCGTTCTACCACCGGATATTTGGTGTATCTGGGCGACAATCGCATTTCCTGGAAGTCCACGAGACGCAAATCCGTTTCGTTAAGCCTTCGGTCCAAGATTGGAGTCTCCGACGACGGATCCTCCATCTTGCGGGGGCGTGTTAAGCCAATATGTGGCTAGTATTCTTTAGTTGTTATTTATCCTATTTGTACTCCTATAGACTAGTTGTGTTTGGTTGTAACTTGTTGCTATCTTCACTCCTCTATGTACTATATATAGGTTGTGCTTTACATCAATAAATATAATCATTCATAATCTTTACATTAGCCCGACTAAATACATTGCATTCAAAGTTGAGCATCAAAGATTATAAATTAGGAACTTTAAAAATCATTTGATTATCTTGAAATTTCTTTAAAAAAAAAAAAAACAAATTTAGGTTAAGTTTTTTTTTTTTTAATGTTTAATTAATCATCTTTTGATTATTTAGAACAAAACTTAATATTTCAATTATGCTTTTGCATTATTGGAATGATTTAGGTCATTATGATATTAATATTTTTTGTATTTTTTATAATGGTACAATTGTACATTACTTTAAAAATATTATACTATTATTTTTTTTATCAGACAAAATTGTTCATACATCATTGTCAGACCTGCGCGGCCTAACTACAAAATTGTTGATCATAAATACAAATAATTGACAATGTTAACATCCTACTAGCTCCAATTGAACAAGTTTACACATCATAATTTTATCAATACATGAAAACTTCTAAAAAAAAAATTAAGTTAATTTTTACTATATCATTATAACAATATATATTGTAACCATATATTTTGAATTATTTATTATCATCCTCTATTGACAGCAATTGTAGCAATTGCCATTGACAAACTCTCAAAACAATTTGTCTCAACAAGGAATGAAAATTAAAAAAAAAAAAAACATTAATTTCATTAGTGTTGATGAAAAGTATGTACGACACTTTATTACTCTTATTAAATTAAAAAAAAAAAATTAGTAGCTACAACAGAAAATAATACATATCATTTAATTAATTTAGAATTAGATTATAATGCTTTATTTATAAAAAAAATTAAAACAAATATCATTTCATTAGTTATATTATCTCTATTTTCTACAATTCAAAGATTCCTTACCTTCAAATTTATTAATTTATTATATTCACTTCTTTTTACATTATCTTGTAATTAAATATCAAAGTTATAATACAAAACATGTTATATATATGTATTTACCAAGTATTTTATACAAATATAATAAATATTAATATTTTGTTCAATACTTTCACATGATAACCTACGACACACATCTCACAACACATGAAACATGTAGGGGAAAAACTACCACTACTAAATATCAATAGGTGTTTATAAGATAAAGAGTTCATATTATAAGTAAAATCTCAGTCATATAAACAGCAAGACAAATCTAAAGCTTCTTACACTTTCATCTCATTGCATGATGAATCCCTTATACTTTGAAATACTTATTTAAAAATAATCATTGGGCATTATCCCATTCGCGCAAAGCGCGTAAAAAACTAGTACATATATACAAATAAGAGTTAATTACCAATAACGATAAAGGAGGCATTAAGGGACTTGGATTTGCTTTATTATTATTATTATTATTATTATTATTATTATTATTATTATTATTATTATTATTATTATTATATTTTAAATAAAATTAAACAGTATTTTCAATCAATTTTTAACCGAATCGTTCGGTACGGTTAATTATTTTAATGTTCGGTACGGTTTAGTTCGGAAAAACCGAACCGAATTGCCCACACCTAAACTTATTTATTGAAATGGTCCCTTGACTATGGAAAAATTACCAATTTGGTCCCGAGTTAACGGAAGTCTAACGACAAAACTAACGGAGGACCAAATTTGTTAAGATTTTTAAAGTTGGGGACTTAATTGGTAAAAAAAAATAATCGAGGACCAAATTAATAATTTCACTATAATCAAAGGACTATTTTGGTAATTAACACTATACAATAATGTTGTCTTTGTCATCATGTCATATTTTATGAAATTGACAGCCGAACAAACATGTGCCTCAGCTTCAATCTCTTATCAGAGACCATTAATCACTGCTGGAAATTATGAAATTTCTGATCACCTGAAAATGATCTTAAATCAAGTTGAAAGTAAAATGTGATCGAAAATAGTAACAAAGGTTTTTCTGAATACCAAAAATGGTCAGAACAAGGCTTTTAACTTGATTTAAGATCATTTTCAAGTGGTCGGAAATTTCATAATTTCTAGTAGTGAATATTGGCTAAAAATCTTGATATTTTTCAATGTAGTTGGATGAACTACAATTGCTACGTTTAGGCGTAGGGTTAGGAGAAGCTGCTTTCTTGTTTTTGCGCCCTCACTCATGTCAGCAGTATCATCAGTGGTCGTGGCATGATAATTTGACAGCGATCACTTGCCCGAACGGTCCATTTTGGTCACTAGCCTATTAAGTATTTTGTAATTTAGTCTTAGATTTTAAAAATTATTCAATTTAGTTATCTGACTGATAAAATCACACTTAATTTAGTCATATGTTACAAAAGTCATCCAAATACTGTTAATTTGAAGGGTAAACACGTCAATCTATGTTCTAATACCTCTTTTTTAGCTTTTTGTCGCGGAATCATCCCCTTTTTTTTTCTCTAGTTCGATTACAGAGCAACCATATCCTTAGCCCTAGCTTTGCCCCACTGGCCATTGCCAAAAGTTCTCCACGAAGATTGTCGTTACAAGGGAGGAAACAAAATAGGGATCGAGATTCTTCATCATCTTCTGGCTCAGTGAAACAAAGATTACACTTTGAATAAGTAATTTCTATTCTCCATTATAATAATTGTGGTAATAGTCAGTTAACCCTTCAAGTCTCATGGAGTTCTGATAATCCTAATCGAAGGTTTTGAAATTGTGTTGGTATCAACATAAGTAATTAGCATTATTTTAAAATATTTTTATGGACTTTTTGCCGACATTTGGATTTGTATAGAAGACCAAATTTATTGAGATTTTTCAAGTTAAAGGACTAAATTGGTAATTTTGTAATATAGGACCAAATTTATAAGGTGGACGCGATTCTATATTCATAATTACTGAACTCTATGTTCATAATTATAAAATTCTATGTTCATAATTATTGAACTTCACAATTATTGAACTTTATATTCACAATTACTGAACTTTATATTCACTATTACATAACTCTATGTTTATAATTATAAAATTTTATGTTCATAATTATAGAATTCTATATTTATAATTTTTAAACTTTATATTTACAATTATAAACATTTTTGGAACCGTATCTACCTTATAAAATGGAAACGGTTCCATAGCATATATAATTTACCGACAGTACTACCGTCCATTGTACAGTGCTGCAACCGCATTATTTGACTACTTTTGGAAATTAAAGTATCATGGAAATTTTCATAAATGTTTTTTTTTTTTTTTTTTATTTAAGATTTGTTTTACTTTCATCATTTTTTAATAGTATTGCTAGTACTACAACCTCATCAATAGATTTCCTACTTCACCATCACCAATTCTTCAACTCAATCGAAAATTTGAAACATTTCTCATCATATAAAATAAATTTATTGAGAGTTTGAGTGTTGCATATAGATTTGATTGTCAAGAAAAAAAGGGGTAATTTAAAGATTTTAACTTTGATGGTTCTCTATTATATGTTATATGTTCATCAATACATTGCTACTGAATTCAAAGCCACAACAACAACCATATACTAGACAGATTTCTTCTGCGTACCGATATTTGATCATGTCTGCTGAACCTTTGAGTCATGGTACGGTATTTTACATCCTTTCAAAGACACGAAACTTGTGCTTACATAAATTAAATGAGAGAACCTATATAATAAGCAACTAAATTATAAAGGTGCGAAGGCAGGCGTGGATTTAGAGAAGCAAAGAGTGGGGTTGCTTTCATATTCGTTAATCGTTAGTCCCACACCATCTTTCATGTCAATAGGCTTATGAGAAATCCTTTTTAAATCAAAACCTTGAATAACACTAGCTAAAACGAACTCCGAACTCCACAACTTTTAGTGCTAAAGAAGTTTAGGGACACATTCTCCTTCCGCTACTAAATGGAAATAACTCAAAATCATTGCCCTTAACATCGATCACCTTATGCTCACTCAAGAATCTCTCTGGCCTAAAAGCACTCAGCTCCGACCAAAAATCTGGATCTTGATGTACATTAGAAACATTCACAAATTGAGTTAATTCCACTAAGGTCCCTTGTCTCTGGTGGCAATTCCAAATTTAGTCATAGACTATCGTTTTTGTCATTTTACATCCCAGACTATTATTTTTTGGACACTTTTAGTCATTCTCATGACTTTCTCTATTTTTAGTAAGGTCATTTTTGTCTTTTCATATTTTTCTTTTGTTATTTTTCCGATTTCAACCGGTTTAATTGGTTTAGAACTTTAGGTAACCTCTGATTTTTAGTAACCATATTTTTCAACTGATTTTTAGTAAAGTTCTAAACCAATTAAACCGGTTGCAACTGGAAAAATAACAAAAGAAAAATATGAAGAGACGAAAATGCTCTTACTAAAAATAGAAAAAGTCATAAGAAGGACTAAAAGTGTCCAAAAAACGATAGTCTAGGACTAAATTTAGAATTGCCACCAATTAAAGACAAGGGACCTCTGATGGAATTAACCCTTCACAAATATGTGTGTGCCCTTTCGGATCTTGTAGCCATTTATAATGTTATCATCTATAGATTCGTGTGGCAATGTTAGAGGACCAGCAGGATATAAACGTAAAGTTTCATTCACAACCGCTTGAAGATAGGTCAAGTTGTTTAAGTCGGAATGGTTTATGTGCCTTTCCCTCCCGATATGGATGTCTAGCTCAGCTTAGATCTTCTCTAACGTAACACAGTATAATTGTCAAAACTAAAGATAGGGCCCATATTAATGTTATCGTAGCCCATATTAATGTTATCGTAGTTGTATCTGTACTGATAGTATAACCTGCCATAAAAATTAAAGAATAACATAATTGACAAAATGTCGTGATATAATCTAGTCTAGATTTTAAAAATACAACATGCACTTAAAATTTATATATATATATATATATATATATATA